CGTAAGGCAAAGAGACACCTTTCACTCGGGCGTGATGAGCCTGGGATGCGCCGCCCTTGATGACCTGCCCGGGTCGGAATTGATCAGATCACCCTGTGCGGTCGCTTTCCCTAACTGGACTTACCGGATTCCTACAGAGCCCCCTTTTCATCTACAGTGGGGTGTCAGGTAAACTTCTTCAACAAGATGAGTTGCATTCTATTTGCTAGGGAACATTATGAGTAAATAGAACAGTGGCTGTCCCCAAGTCGAGCTCTTGCCCTTCGAGAACATTGGGGCTCTCAGTAGGGCAGCACCCCGTTGGGGCAGTGTAGCAGAGTTCTTCCTGTCTGAGCGTGGGTCTGGTGACAGGTGAGAGCTTCTGGTGACAGGGGGCTCTGAGGTGGACTGGTTGTCCCAGCTGCCCGTGCAGACTGGGCTGCGGGAGCCACCGTGGGGGGCCACCGGCTCTCCCTTCAGCTGCAGCAGGGGGATTCTAACTGATGGAGGGAGATACCACGGCGGGGGCTGGGAGAGGGGCCCACAGTTACTGAGGGCCTCGTCTGTGTTGAGCACTGAGCGAGGTTCTCCAAATATCTGGGGATTTTCTATGCCTCACTCTTGCTAACTTCTCATTTCCATTGTCCTCAGAGCAGATGTTCTGTGTGTTTCCGTCCTTTGAAATGCATTGAGACCTCCTCTCTGGCGCAGCCCGTGGTCTCTGTTGGGAAATGTTGCATGTACTCTGCAGGTTTGGGGTGGAGTGGTCCGTAGATGCCTACTATGAAAAGCCCAGTACTCTTCATAGAAGGCCACTCTGCAACGGGCCCGGAGCGGGGGGAGGGGGAAAGTCCTGCAGGTGGGAAGGTAGCCGACCCCTGACCCCAGGAGGCAGACACGATGCCACCTTGTCCTGCATGTGGCCCAAACGAGAAGAAAAGGTCAAGAACTCTAAAGAGGCCCCTGAGGCCATGAGGAAACGTCTGGGGATTTGCTCGAGGAAGGGAACGTTCCCCGTGGAGGTGAGGAGGAACCACACGCAGTCCCCTCCTGTCCCTCACGCATCCAGCGGACATTCAGCCGACTTGCTCAGCCCTGTGCTGTTCTGGATGTTGCGGTACAGGTTCGTCACTGCCCCGCCTTCCCAGAACTTGCAGGTCATCGAACGGGCAGTTATACCCAGAAGGGCAGAGGTCATAATGGGGAAAGTATGTATATGTCAGAACACAGTCGCTCTTGGTTCGTTTCTCCCTTTCCTTGGGCTACACAGATCTGCAGGTGAAATAGGATTTCCACGGGGAAGCTGAGAGGTGGGGAAAGCACGGTGCCCTCTATCAACCTATTAGAAACCTTGAGCAGCCCGGCCGGAGTGGCTCAGTGGTTGAGCGTCGACCCTGCACCAGGAGGTTGCCGGTTCTAGTCCCGGTCAGGGCACGTGCCCAGGTTATGGGCCAGATCCCCAGTGGGGGGCATGCAATCGATGCGGCCAATCGATGTTCCCTCTCATCAATGTTTCTATCACTCTCTCCCTCTCCCTCGCTCTCTCTCTCAAAGCAATAAAGAAAGAAAAAAAAGAAACCTTGAGCAAACCCTTCCATGAAGGCTAAGGAAATGGGGAGTTCCTAGGGGCTGGCCTGCAGCGCCAGAGAGCTCCGGGACCTTCTGTGTCTGTTGGTTTGTTTGGTGCTGTGGTCCCTTTGACAAGCTGCGAGGCTGTGCGGGCCTTTTCAGAGGGATGAATGATGATGTGAAACCACATAACGAAACACTGGGGTTACAAAGGAGGCCGATCGCCCTGGAATCGGCAGTGCCGTCTGGACCCCCCGCCCGGTCCCCGGGAGGGGGACACCTCCAGTCCCTGGAGCAGCAGAGAGGGCCTCCGCGCACGAGGAGTAAGCTTTCCTGAGGTCGTTTGGTGTCTATGAACTCGGTTACCTCCGGGGAGGGCCCGACGGCAGGTCTTACTTTTGAATGGATTTAGGCGCTACCTTGGCTTGCCCAGGGTGAACTCATGGTTTCGGTTTCCTTTCTCAGCAGACCGTGTGCCCAGAGTTCTAGAGAATGGCGCCTTGACTTGGCCGATTTCGCTCCCACATCTTAAATTCCTCTTGCTTCCTGGGTGGGAGGAGCATCACAGACCGGCGGGGGCTGGGGAGGGGCGGGGGCTGGGCAGGCCTGGCGAGGAGACGCTGAAGGCTGACTTCCAAGGGGGGGAGGAAGGCCTGGGCTGGGTGGTCCTGGTGGGTGCTCCGTAGCCTTGGTTAGGTTTGGGAACCCGAGCTGGGAGTTCACCAAGCAGAGAGTGCCGCCCAGCGCGGTGGAGTGACTCTGTGGGAGCTGAAGAGAAGCCTGAGGTTCAGGGAGGACCCATGCTGTCCTCTCTGAGGTGATAGAGGCTGGGTGTCCAGACACCGGTTGTGGGGAAATACACCAGTTTTCCCATCTCTCCATCCTCATTACCGCCCTAGGACCTGGGACTCCCCGTTCTACCAGCGAGATAGTGGGCACTCAGCATAGTTCACCCACTGCACCCCGCTCCAGCTACAAGTGGGGGAGCTAAGTCTGCTTCCAGGGAATCCCAGGCTCTTTGTGCCCATTGCCCAGCTGCCCCCCTACCGCACGGAGGGCCTGGGTGTAGCTGCTGGAATCAGTTTGCCGGGGAGCACATCTCTGCCACTCTAGACAACACAATGACCCGAGCTGAGTTCCTCACCCCAGGTCCTCATCTGTAAAACGGGAGGATTTTGTCACCTAACTCAAGGACTGTCCTTGCCGCACTGCTGAGATAGTGTGGTGCGTGTGAAGCGTGAGCACACGAGCCTGGCGTGTAAATGCTCCTGCAGTGGCAGTGACCGTGCTCACTGTTAGCCGGCAGGACCGGGAGGAATGTTAGGGGCCCTGGGGTGCGATCACTTCCCTGTGTCCTTCTGCAGCTGGCAAGCAGCCACAAGTTTGTTTCTCTGGTACGAAGGTTGCCCTGGTGTTCGGGAGTGACCGGCAGGGCTGGGGTTATGCTACAACCCTGCACGCCCGGCCAAGCCCAGCGCGCGCCCTGGGGGCCGGCGCAGCCTGCGCGCTGTGGTCGAGGGAACCACCACCCTCAGCCCGCTTTCTCCTCTGGACAAGCCTCCGTCGCTCCCCTCGTCACCGGCCTGCACGGTCCCCCTCCGTCCAGCAGCTGTGTCTCCAAGACAGCTGTTGTCCGTCCTCTCTTTCTCTGGCCCACTCCCGTCCCGTCCCCCGGGGGTGCTTGTCAGATGCTAGGAGGGCACAGAAAGGACTTGAAGGTGTTGAAAGACAGGGCTGAGCATCGAATAGCCTGGACCCGATCCTGGCCCAGTGCTCAGCGCAGTACAGACAGCTTCCCTGTGTGAGGTCCTTATCGGTGTAACACGTGATGTTACGTGTACACACACCTACAGTCTGTATGATGACTTCCCTCCAAGCTGTGAGGATGAAACGGCTGGATGGGCTCCCCATGGAAACATGTTGTAGCACTCGGTGCTGAGCATCATTAGCCTGTCTATGTTAGTCATGGGAGAACTCGGGGTGTACCCTCAGCCCAAGTGCCGTGCCTCTGCGTCTCAGTCCCCCCGTTGACAGCTGCGGAGTGAGAATCGGGATAGAAGAGGGGTGAGGAGGCTGGGGGTCAAGCACTGGAGGCGTCTCTCCGCTCTGCTCAGCCTGTACCTGCGCTTTAGGCCTGGGCAGGAGGGCGTCTCCCTTCCCCACATCTCACCTGTTGGGGTTGGAAATTGTCCTTTTCTGCACTGAAGGCCGATCGATGCCTAGAACAGGCCCTGGCCTGTGGTACGCACACAGCAAACACCTGTTGTTGAAAGGAGATAAAACACGGGAGTGCCTGCCACGCAATTGATTCTCATTCAACAGGTGTATCGCAATGTCTGTTCTAATCTGAGAATCAGCAAACCAGCGCCAGCATGCCAATTCTAGCCCACCGCCTGGTTTTATAAATAAAGTTTTATTGGAACACAGCTATGCCACTTCATTTACACACTGTCCAGGGCTGCTTTCCTGCTGCTACAGCGGAGTTGGGTACTTGTGAGAGAAATGGAAGACCTTCAGTGCCTAAAACTACACTCTGCTTTTTACGGGACATCCCTGAGGCTTCTGCTCCGAAGGCCAAGTTGGCCCTGTCTGTAGGTGACCAGCGATTTCATTTTCCCCTGATTGCAGGTGTGTGGGCAGCTACACGTTGAAAACAAGTTTTCTCGATGCCCCCTTTGCGGTATTTAGTTCTCCTTTGACACTGTAATTCCGCTGCACTATGCGAGCATGGTCAGAACCGACTTCTGTGCCCCCCCTGCCAGCTCTCATGTGTAAGGGGGTGTTACTTTCATTTCTTCGTAAAAAGAAACTCAAGCCACCTGCCAGTGTTGGCTGGCATATTCATTAGGGACTGGCCATGTGTCCTGCAACAACCCCAGACCTAGGGCACCCCACGGGTGAAGAGGCAGGGGTACAGCTTACCGAACAGCATGGAGGGATGGATGCTGGCGGAGCAGGAGGGAGTCACTGTATCTGTGGTGCCAAGTGCATAGGTCTCTCATTCACGCTCCCAGTGTTATGAACGGGATGACCTCAGACACTGCAGGGAGCCGCACCTGGCCTCAATTTTCCAACCTGTAAAACGGCAACAATGATACCACGTCGAGTTGTTGTGAAGACTAAATAGTATCAGGTGCCCAAAACATAGTAACTAGTCAGCTATTTTTATAATAAAATAAATGTTTTATTTCTGTTTGGGGGAGAGAGATTCAAAAATCTCTGCTTCATACGGACACTCCTTTGATGGTGAGGGCCCACAGTGAGGAGCCTCGTGGAACCTTGGTTTGGCGGTGTGCTGGGTGGGATCTTTCTGGACTGAGCAGCTTTATCGCGAACTCTGAGGTCTTCCCTGAAGTGCTCCCTGTCCACTGTGCCAACTGAGCAGTACAGGCCGGGCTGCTGTTCTGCGACCACTTCGTAGTCAGCAGATCTTTTTCTTCTTTTCCCTCCAGAAAGACGGAATAACGGGCTCCCAGTCCTCAGCCCCAAGGAGAGGACCGCCCAGGAGCCACTGAAGGCTGAGTGCACCGAGGCGAGAGCCTCCTTGTGACTGGGACGGGAGCCCAGCTCTGGGCTGGCAAAGGTGCAGGCAGCCAGCGAGGACTAGAGGTGGAGAGCCTGGTCCCTCTGTCTGTCCACGGCGTAGAGCGAGGCCTGGAACAGAGTGCTCCGCAGATGTTTGCTGGCAGGGTGAGTGGTCGCCCCTTGTGGGTGACATGCTGCTTGATGACCGCAAAGGCTCCAGCCTCATGTGTCTCTTCGACTGGGGTGTCCATGATGCCATCATGTGAGCCCCGGGCTCACAGCAGGACCACACGGCTGCCCTCCGGCCTCTCGCCCCAGGTCCCCAGTCGTCACCCGTCCTGGTCCTCATCATCGAGTCTGCTAGTCCCCCTCGCCCAGGGCTCTTCCCACGGTGGCCCCTGGGCCCGCGCTCGAGGTGCAGGAAGCCAGCCCACAACATCATGGAGATCTCCAGGGATCGCTCCACTGTGGCCCCTTGGCCAGGTCAGCAGAGTGGTCTGTTTTTTAAGGACCTTGAGCTACGAACTGCTTTTACATTTCCAAAGGGTTAAAAAAAAAAGAAAAAGAAAAAGGCCCTGGCAGGTTTGGCTCAGCGGTTAGAGCGCCGGCCTTCGGTCCAGAGAGACCCGGGTTTGGTTCCCGCTAAGGGCATGTACCTCGGTTGCAGTTTGTCCCCGGCCCTGGTTGGGTCGTGCGGGTGGCAGCCACTCGATGTGTCCCTTCCACGTCGATGTTTCTCTCTCTCTCTCTCTCCCTCCCACTCTATCTGAACAAAATATGGAAAAATGTCTTCGGGTGAGGATAAAAAAAAGAAAAAGAAAAAGAATATGCCACAGACCACATGGCTAGCAAAGCCTGAAACATCGACCCTCTGGCCTCCCTAGGAAAGTTCCCCAACTGCTGGTCCCGATCGTCCTCCGGAAGAGCGTCCCGTGGAGGCCACTCGGTGCACCAGACGCATCCAAGGCTGCAGGCACACGGGCTCCTTTCCCGTCTTATCCTCACTGAGGCATGATATCCCGTCTCTCGTAGAGATGGGGAAACTGAGGCACGCGGAAGCAGCCTGGCCTCGGAGTTTATGCTTTTTAACCAGGTGCCATTTTGCCTCTGGTTGTGGCCATGCTCCAGCTTTAGGACTGGTCCGTGCTCCGTTCCATCCTGGGGCTCTCGTCGGGGGGGATGAGCTTCAGATAAGACTGCCCCTTCCTCTCCCCCATTAGTCACTCCTCTGACCCACGGCCGGAGCCAGTGACCAGGTGTTTTGCTCTTTATAGGACATCCGAACCTGCTTAGAAAGAGGAAAAGAGACACAGAAAGAGGGAGAGAGAGACATCGATCTGTCTTTCTATAGATACCTGCACTGGGGAGCAAACCCACAACCAAGGTATGTGCCCTGACTGGGAATCAAACCCAAAACATTTCGGTGCACAGGAGGATGTTCAGCCTACTGAACCACTCTGGCTGGGCTCTTTGAAGAGTTCTTAAGGCGAGGGAAGGAGGGAGTGGCAGCCCTTCCTGTTCCTGCTAGCTGGGATGTAGGAGTGAAGAGCTGGTGCTTCTGCAGCTGTTCTGAACCACGAGGCAGAATGTGGAGTGACAGGATGGAAGGATTCAGGGTACCCACTGCTCCTGAACTGCCTCCCTGTAGTCTGCACTTGCATGAGAGAAAGATATCTCTATTTTGTTCGCAGCCAAACCTAATCTTTTATTTTTATTTTTATTATCCCATGTCAAGAATGTGTTTGGTTTTTGCCAAACCCAATTTTAAGGAATATGCTGCCCACACCACTGTGTGTCAGAATCCAGAAGTCCTTTTATTCAGTGATTATTATTATTTTTTTGGGGGGGGGGCATGATGTGTTCTAGGTCCCAGAGATGCAAAGACAAAAATAATTTTAAAAAATTTTCTTTCAGTTGGATTAGTTTGCTAGGGCCGCCATGACAAAACACTGCAGACTGGGTACCTTGAAAAGAAATGTGTTTGCTCGCAGTCTGGAGCGGAGGAGTCCGAGATAGGTGTGGGCAGGTTTGGTTGCCGCTGCAGCCCCTCCCTTTGGCTCACAGGTGGCCTCCTGTTCACATTTCCACGTGTGGACAAATCCCAGTGTCTCCCTCGTTCTGGATTTGGGCCCCACCCTAACGACCTCATTTTAACTCAGCCACCTCTTGAAAGAGCTTCCCTGTAAACATGGTCACATTCTGATGTCGGAGAGAACGCAGCTGAACCTGTAACACCCGCGAAAGAATGCCTGGTGGGCAGGGCGGGCAGGAACTAAAATTAGGTTCGTGCTGAGATCACCAGTTAGTTCTGTGCCTGGCGCAAGAGGCAAGAACAGAAGATGTGTAAGTGTCAGGAGACCCCCTTGTCCTCCTCATTTTCAGAACGTAAGTGCCTTCTCCAGTGGTTGTTTAGAGGTGTTTTTTGGTCTTTTTTTTTTTACTTGACCTTGAACTGCCTTTGACCCAGCTAACAGATCCTCCTTGAAACATGTCCCCCGTTGGGCTTCCGGGACCCAGAAGCCTGCGTCACCTCCTCTCGCCCTGGCCACTCGGCCTGTCTTTCCTCCCCTCACCCTGCATTTGCGTGGAGGCCTTGATCCTTAGTCTCTTCTCTTTCGTTGGCCACCAGTCCTTGGAGAGCTCCTCTGGCCTCTGGGATGCCCATGTCCTTTTCATGGGACATCTCCCAAATGTTCCCTCCCTCAGGCCTCTAGACTGGTCCGTCCAGCTGCCTTCACCTCATCTCTAGCTGGGTGGCGACCCATTACCCAAACTTCTGATCTCCCCCAACTCTCGCACTTTGTTGTCTCTCTATCTTCGTCAGTGGGAACCCTGTCTTTGCAGTCGCTCAGGCTACACCCTTGGACTCCCCTCATTCACTATCATATTCTGTCCACCAGCAAGGCATCCTCAGACTGTCACCTCCCCTCATCACCCACTGCCATGACGTTGGCCCAGGCCACCAGCATTTCTTCCTGGCATTACTGCAGCGCCCTAGACTGGGCTCCCGGCACCTTTGTCCCTCTACAACCGGCTCTCCAACAACAGTCAGGGTGACCCTGTGACGTGGAATCCAGAGCATGGAACAGCTCTGCCTTGAAACCCCCAAAGGCTTCTCATCCTGTTCAGAGACAAGCCACAGGCCTTGTGATGGTCTGCGAGGCCCCTGTGGTCCAGTCCGGCCACCCCTGACCATGTGCGAGGTCTCTCCATCTCAATCACTGCACCCACATGCTGTCCGGCACCTCAGACCCTCTGGGTGGCTCTGGCTCAGGGCTTTGCATCTGCTGGGCTCGCTCTCTTTTATACCAAGTATTTTACTTGTGTGCTGCCACCAGTAGAAATAAAGTAGCCATCCCGTGGCATAGAAAGCCATGAACATTCAGAGAGGTAGATGTTAAGGACGGACAGAAGAAGTATCGCACATGTTAGAGTAACTTTTTTGTACAGGCTTCAAATTTAGCTCTTTTTGAATATTCACCAGTTCAGGAAAAGTGGGTTAGAACACCTTCAAAGATCCATTTCACTACAAAAAGGGACAGCCTTTGTGGGGTCTGAAGGGGTTTGCACTTGAAGAGACTCCGGTCTGCAGGGGTCCTGTGCCGCAGCCTGGGAAACCTTCCCGGGGTCGAACCACTTTCTTCACAGCGATGACCCGGGAGGAACCAGGCGTGGTGCACGCGGGAGCTGGGCTGGTTTGTTGGTAGTGGGTCCGTCAGACCTGTGTCCTCGGGGCCAGATCGCGGGGCAGCGAAGCGAGGGGCTGCTCTCTCTTTTAAAAAATATGTTTTATTGATTTGAGAGAGAGAGAGGAACATCAATGTGAGAGCAGACCATCTATCAGTTGCCTCCCATGCTCCCAGCTGGGGAGCAAACCCGCGACCCAGGCAGGTGCCCTGATCAGGAATCGAATCAGCGCCTCTTGGCGCGTGGGATGATGCTTCGTCCTCTGAGCCACACGGCTGGGCCTGCGGGCTCTGTCTGTCCTCACTGCCTACCCTCCCGAGTCGCCGCTGAGCATCACCATCCCAGCGAGGCCTTCCCTGGCCACCACCGTAAGGTTCTGACTCCCCCACTCTGTGGCTCCCCCTCTCTCCTGTGTTTATTTTCCCCTTGTTCTGGGCACCTTGTAATGTTCCTTACTGTCATTTAAGCTGGTCCATTAGCTCCCTCCATCCCACTAGAAAGCTCCCGGGGGGCAGGAATTTTTGTCTTAGGCTCCAGCTTGCCTGGCACTCAGTAAATCTTTGTGGAGTGAATGAATGAATGAATGGATGGCCTCATCCCAAAGACAGTCTGCCCTGAAAATAAGCCTTTATTTCAAACATGGCACTTTTGGTCTTTGACATATATGTATATACCGTGTGTGTGTGTGTGTGTGTGTACTTAGATTGTGATAAGATATGTTTTAAGACTTCAAGCGTATATATATCAAGATATTTAAAGTCTGTGTGTAGCATGTCTCTCTCTCAAAGACCACAGTGCATTTTGCATACGTAGCCGACGTGTCATTGTTTTTTTTTTTTTTTTTTTAATCCTCACTGGAGGACATTTTTCGATATTTTGTTCAGATAGAGTGGGAGGGAGAGAGAGAAAGAGAGAAAAACATCGACGTGAAAGGGACACATCGAGTGGCTGCCACCCACACGACCCAACCAGGGCCGGGGACAAACTGCAACCAAGGTACTTGCCCTTAGCGGGAACCGATCCCGGGTCCCTCTGGACCGCAGGCCGACGCTCTAACCGCTGAGCCAAACCGGCCAGGGCTGAAGTGTCACTGTTTTGCCAAGAAGGACGCTTTCTGGTAACCCGCTGCCAGTCAGGAAGCACCCAGGCAGCAACGCTGTGGTAAATCGCCCACCTTCAGCATCTGGATTTCCAGAGCAGAGAGCACGTCCTTGCCAGGAAATTTCCGCCTCACTTCTGGTCTGCAGAGGGCGAGGCCAGTCCCAGAGGAGATGCATCCGACTGAAACAGCCCATGGCTGCCACTCCCTGCCCGTGCATCATCAGCCGCCGGGCCCAGCCCAGCCTGAGCCCCCAGGAGCTCCTCCCCGGCCTCCGGGTCCTGCGATCTGGCTCAGACCCACTTCTGCCCTCAGCCCAACTCTAGACATGCCGGCCTCTGTGTGTCCCCAAAGGCACCGCCTCCTGCTCGGCCGGCTCCATCTCCAGCTTAGGGCTGTGCTGGCTGCCCACCCCCGTGTTGCTCCCTGTAGGGCGAGAACTGGGTCCCCGTGGCCCCTGTGAAGGCACCTTATTTGGAAACGGCCTTTGCTGATGCCGTCTGGTTCAAGGAGGTCCTGTTGAGTGGAGGTAGTTGACAGACACACCGGGCAGAAGGTCTGTGGAGCTGGAGGCAGAGACGGGCGTGGTGCTTTTAGAGCAATGGAATGCCCGAGGTTGCCGGCAACCCCTCAAAGGCTGGAGAGGGCAAGGGATGGTCTTACACTGCGGGTCATGCATGTCTGTTGTTCTAAACCGCCCAGTGCATGGTGCTCGACTCTAGCAGCCCTGGGAACCTCGTCCAGCCCTTTCGTCCTTACGTTCTCCCCCTCCATGGCACCTCCTGGAAGGGCCTCCTGCGCCCCCGTCCTAGGGAGGTCTCCTAGCTACACGACACAGCTCCTTTTCCTCTCTCTGCACCCGGAGCTTGTCACCATGTGCGATTCCCTTTGGAACGCTTCCCTGACCGCGCGCAAGCCGCCGCCCCTGTCCAGGCGGTCCGTGACGTGTCCTCGTGGGAAGAGCGCCTGCAGTGGGTGAGCAGTCAGCGTTTGTCGGATGAGCGCACGGCGGTCCAGGGAGAACCTTCTGGGCTCACAGAGTTTCTTTATTTAAATCTGCTTGTGTCGTAAGTTCCCCAGTCAGAAGGAAGGTTGCCCTGGGTGCTTCCCCTGGAAATCCTCAAAGTGTCAGTATTCAAATCAAGTGCTCAACTCTGTCACCCTCGGTCACAGTTCCTACAAGAGAGACAGGAAGGCCCGTGAGGACTTTCCAAGTTAGGCTGATTCTTACTGTTTAGTCTGAATGTGTTTTCCTGCTAAGAACATGAACCAGAAATGAGTTTTACCAAGTGGTAAGCAAGACCTTAAATAGAAAAAAAAAACTCCAAACATGTAAGTTCTTTCACACATACCTTCCTCCCCAAACTTTCCCTCCCTTTCTCTCAACACTAGGACCTCCGGTCTTGTCTCCTGGGTCATGGTGCCTGGTGGTCTTATTTCGGAGCTCTCGGAATTGTGCTGGATTTTCCCTCCTTGGGTTTTAGTTGGAGACGTCTGGTAGGTGCTTTACGGTGATTCTGGAACTGCCGTCTCCCCTGAGACCCATCTGTCACATAGTGTGTGGGTTTTGCCTCTGATGGATTTAGAACAGCCTTTATTGAGCACCTACTGCGAGCCAGCTTTTACCCGAGGCAGTTTTAGACTCCGCAGCTTCCTTTCCATGTAATCTGTTCCGGAAACCGTGTTCACTACGAAGTGATCTCACTCCAGAGCCAATTGCCTGGTGAAGAAACCAGCTCAGAGAGGTTAGGTCCTTGTCTAAGGTCACACAGCACTTTTCAGACCTAGTCTGCCTGACTTCAAAGACAGGGTTCTTTTCCCCCAAATTTTACAACTGAACAAAACAACCCTCACTAGACATTGCCTTATTAGCAAGGGGTTTTACTTGATCAAGATCCGACTGTGCCTGGGGCTACCAAGTCAGTGGTTGGCTGGGGGAGAGGCTTCAGCTCCTGGATTTACGGACCCAGGACCCTTGCTGTGTGCTCTGGACACTCCACAGACCTGGCAGGACTTTGGCCAGGGTATCATCTGCCCTTGGGATTGTGCCTTGTGACTCTGGGACATCAGGCTAGCCACTTCTCTCCTCCAGCCTCAGTTTCTCCAACTATAAAATGAAGACAGTTCGGATGAGCTCTGTGCTACCGTTCTGCCCTAAGGATTTTAGCATTCTGGGACAGTGACCGCCACTTTTCCCCACAACGACTGCCACTTTTCCCCAGTCTCTCGAACTCAAGCCTTTCAATTATATCTAGAGCTCGTGGGCTGCATGGAGGACATCCATGCCCGCCCTTCTGCCGGGGACCCCATTTCAACATCTCACCTCATCCCCTGGCCCATTTCCTCTCCTCCCTTGCAGTCCGTCCTTCTGGGGCCCCTGGGCAAGTTTCTTAACCTCTCTGAGCCCCCACATTCTCTCTGGAATGATCTCAGATGAGTGTAAAACCCATCTCTTTGGCCCTTTGGGAGGATTACAAAAGGAAACAGTAACCGTTGTTTGCTCTCTCGGCGTCTGGGCGGTGTGGTCATGGCCAGCAGCACAGACTGGCCATAGGCGAACGTGTTCTGATTCTGACTGCACCGCCCACCCACTTACCTGCTGTGTGGGTTTGGGCAGGTTGCTTTACTTCTCTGTGCCTTCCGCCAAGTGCGAACAGTACCAGCCTGCCTACCAGCTTGTTATGAGGGCTAAATGAGTTTCTATTTATAAAGCACATAAGATAGTGTGGGGCATGTAGCAAGTCTGCGGAAAGAGTCAGCGATTATTATTAAGTCATCTGATTCTCAGATCAGCCTCGCGTCGGGAGTGCTGTTACAGTCCTCCGGAAGCGGACGAACTTGGCCGAGGCCTGTGCCCGTGTTGGCTGGCAGGGTTTAAATACCCTTCAGCTGTGCTGACTGGCAGGCATGATGAGCGCGGGTGGGGGTGGGAGGAGGCGGTCCAGGCTTGGGGTTTAATGGTCTGCCATTGCCATTTTGAAGTTTGCAATACTGTTCACATTGACCGTGTGCTTTGTGATCAAGTCCCGCCTCCGGTCACCTGCTTGCTTCCCTCTGTGGGTTCTTGGTGGCCTCTCCCCTGCCTTTGCCACACTTTGCCTCTGCCTTCTGCTTCTGGTGGGCACCTGGGCACAGGCATGGGAGAGGCAGGGTCCTGGGGTCAGACTATGGGTTTCGGGGGGCGGGGGGGCTGTACTCACCTACAAGCATCTCTGGGCCCGAGGGAACGTGGCATGAAACAGCCAATAAAAACCCCGCAACAGATCAAGACGGAGGTTATGGAAGAACAGTAGAAGCCGCTCTGCCTCCTCTTTGACCCAGTCTTTTGATGAAGGCCAGAGAGGTGGCCCCTGCCACCTGCGCGGAGACGGCCTCCCCAGGCCTCTCGGCCTTATCAGGCTTTACATCCAACCAGCAGCCCTCGGAGCTAACGGACGATCGGGAAATCCGATTCACTTCCTTCTTCTGTTCCTTAGGCCTCAGGAGCAGAGTGTTTTATTTAAAAGACACGGTGGGCACCCTGGCCAGTTTGGCCTGGTGGTTAGAGCGTTGGCCTGCGGACCAAGGAGTTCTGGGTTCAATTCAGTCAAGGGCACGTACCTGGGTTGCAGGTTCGATCCCTGGTTACGGTTGTGCCGGAGGCAACCAATTGATATGTCTCTCTCACCTGATGTTTCTCTCTGCCACCCCCCACCCCCATCTAAAAAAAAAATCAATGGAAAAATATCCTCGGGTGAAGATTTAAAAAATATAAATAAAATAAAAGACCCTCCGGGCAATTACATTATGCAAATGCAGGCATCTCTGCGTCTGCAAGGCTGAAGCTAGGCCTTGGAGGTCTGCAAGGTGGACCACGCAGGTTGGGCAGGGGCCACCCAAGAGGCCCTGCTGGCGGGTCTCCGCACCTCTCGTAGCTGCTCTCGAGGCTTCTGGGAGGACTCAGGCCTCGGCCTGACGGGCGAGAGGAGGACCGCACAGGGTGGAACCGCAGGGCGGGGGCGGGCGCCCTGGTGCAGTCTCCTGGTAACCATGAGGCTCTGCAAGGACAGCCAACAGCAACTCCAGGCCGACCCCAGGGCCCCTGCAGATCTGCACCCACTGAGAGGCCGGAAAGAGGCGCAGCCCGCGGGCTCTGCCGGAGCAGTGTCTCCTAGCTTCTGTGCAGCCCGCGGGCTCTGCCGGAGCAGTGTCTCCTAGCTTCTGTGTGGCCACAGCGCATCATGCAGGCAGAACGTTCCAGAGCCAATGAGGGACGCAGAAGGAGCCCTCTAGGGGAGGCCAGTCAGGGGGAAAGGTGGCCCAGATAGGATGGGAGTTCGGGGGTCAGTTTGACCTCAGCCAGTTTTCTTATCTTACAAACTGGCCTGCTTTCGAGAACCCGCCCAAACAGCCGGGCCAGTCTCATGTCCATGGCTGTGCTGAGCATCTCTGAAAATTCCGGATGTGGCAGCTTGGGCTTTGGACCCACAGAGGCATCCGTGTATCTTTGTTGTTTAGTGAGCCTGTGCTCACCACTCCCCAAAGTCACTGTGTCCTCGGACCAGCACCTCCGCTAAACGCGTGTTTCTGTTTGTCCGCCCGAGACAGAGGCGGCGGGTGGGGCAGGTGCAAAGGCCTGGCCTGGGCCGGCCCCCTTGGCGGGTACTGCCCGTGTCAGAGCCGCCCAGAGTCCAGATGAGCTCTTTGAACTCCCAACACAGAGGTGGGTGATTTATATGCTTTTGACTCTACTTACCATTTTCTGACAGTAGTTGACTTTTACTGACTTCCGCCTCTAGGTTGGACCTCCCGGGCTGAGCGCTCCATGAACACGGTCCCTGTTCGATCTTCTCTGCGGAGACACGATTCCCACGGGGCCCGTCGCGAAGACCCTCAGCGCCGAGCCTGGTGAGTTCTGACAGCTGTAGCACTCATGTGCCCATCGCCCTGACGCGGGAACGGGGGGCATTTTTATCACCCCAGGAAGTTCCCCGTGCCTCTTCTCATTCGTCCTGCTACCCCGCCCTCACCCTGCTGTCATTTCTGCTACCCAGGGTTCATTTCTCCATTCTAGAACTTTCGAATGGAAATGTTGCTCTTCAGCATCCGGCTTCGTTCACTCTGCGCAGTGTCTGTGGTGTTCACCCAGGTGTACCAGTAGCTGTTGCTCTGGATTGTGGACGCTCCGCCGTCTGGACATACGGAGCTCTGCCCAGCCTTTTATCTCCTGATGGCCGTTTGCACTGTTTTCCACATTTGGTGATTAGGAATGAGCCTGCTTTGAGCTTTCGTGTACACACCTTTTTTCATGTCTTGGGGAAATAACCTAGGAGTGGAATTGTTGGCTCATGGGCTTTGTGTGTTTTTAACTTCATTAATCTCCGACCACATTGTTTTTTTCCTACCATGAGTGTGAGTTCCAGGGGCTCCACCTGCTCACTAACACTTGGCATTAACAGTCTTTTTATTTGGGCCACTTTTGTGATGGGGAATTGGTGTCTCATTGTTATAATTTGCATTTCCCTGATGAGTAATGGCATTGAGCACCTTTTCATTTACTTACTGTCTATATCTTCTTTTGTGAAGTGTCTTAAGTTGACGTCTGTTCTGCATGGAGGGGGCTGCTGGTCTTATTACTGAGTTGCAAGAGTTCTTAGCATATTCTAGATACAAGTCGCTAGTCGGTTATAAGGCTGCAACTGTCCTCTTCCAGCCTGTGCCTACACTGTCTCTTCTAGAACCCTCCGAAGCCTCCGAAGGGATGTTACTGTATCTGCTTTGTTTTAGAGAGGCAGGAACGGAAGCGCAGAGGAGTTAAGTGAAATGCCCAGAGTCACACAGCAACTCAGTGGAAGTGCAGAACCACTGTGTGCGACGCAGAGCATCGACTTCCAGAAAATCCCGGGGAGAATCTCCCCACACACCAAGCCTTGAGGGGCGTGGTTCTCAAGCCAGGGCCCAGCCGGGGCTATTTCAGTCCGCGGCCGCTGCTCTGCCTCGCACATACCAGACCATCCTGGGAAGTCGCCGCTCCCAGAGCGCAGTGGGGCGCACCATCTTCTGGAGGATGCCACGGGGCTTTGAGCTGCTCCGACGAAAGACAAACTGCGGGTATTTTAATGGGCCTCTGTGGATGTTGGCAGGATTACCTCGTGCCAGGAATAACAATGAGGGGCCTGAGCTCGCTGCCAGCCCCGCTCTGGGAGGCATCGTTGGAGCAGGCAAGCCAGGTGGCGGGGGAGGAGGGGCCTGCCGTGGCAGGGCAGACTTGGGATATTTGTCCACCGCTGTCTCAGAGAAGGGCTTCCGAGGGCCCAGGGACTTGGAGCAGGGGAAGGGCCCCCGTGGCAGTCAGAGCAAAAGGCTGGCGGGTTTTGTGAGAGCAGGAAGCACAGTAACTCCAGTCACCAGCGTGCTGGTCAGAGGGCAAGCCCGGTCTACCAGGCGCCGTGTCTGCACTGGCCACGCTGATTAGTGCCAGCTGTGGTCAGGTGCTTTGCACTTACTGCTGTTGGTCACCCCCTCGAGACAGGTATTATTAAAGTGCTCACAGGAGGAAACTGAGGTTCAGAGAGGCTAAGCAATTTGCCTAACGTCACACCATTTGAAAGTGGCTGAGGTATGAATAGAGGTTTAGCTCATCCTAAAGCCAATCACCTACACCCTATGCTTGGCTGCCTTTCTGGTTAACAGGCTTGTATCAAATTTGGACTTTGTGTGAAAAACAGCCTTAGGTGCTATGGTCAGGGGAATTCAGTGTTGAACAACACCTGTCCCCGTCTCTGGGTGGTGTCGTGGGTTGAATGGTTCCTGTCCCCACTACAGAGACATAGCCTCATCTCTGAACCTGTGAATGTGAGCTCCTTCAGGAAAAAAGGGTTTTTGCAGATGTGATTACATTTAGGATCTTGAGATGAGATCATCCTGGATTACCTGGGTGGACCTAAATCCAATGACAAATGTCCTTACAAGAAACAGAAGCGGAGAACAGAGAGGGGGCGAAGGCCATGTGAAGACAGGACAGCTGTAAGCCAGGGAGTGCCCAGAGCCACCAGGAGCCACGAGAGGCGAGGCATCTCCCCTCGAGCTTTGAAGGGAGCACGGCTCTAATGTATCCTCTTCATTAGCTGGGAGACACCAGGTCCAGCCCACACACTGGAGGGGACTGCACAAGGGCTTGAATACTGAGGGGGGCAGGATCCTGGGGACCATCTTAGAGATGGCTTCTCACAGTAGGTGGGGGTCCCCATTTCTCTGTCTCTCCCAAGGCACCTGGCTCCAGGTTGCACATTGACTGTGTGTGGGCTACTGAGCTCGATTCTTATACACAGCACATGAGGTGTTACCACGTCACCCACACAGGAACCCAGCAAGGGGGATGTCCACCCTCTTTGACAGAGCGGGTCCCCGAAGCTCAATAGACGAAGGCAACACTGCGGCACATTAAGAGTAATCCAGTGGTTTGCAAATTTTAGCTGCATCAGAATTACCTGAAATCAATTTCTGGGTCCTGTGCACAATGTTTCTGGTTCCAGGGTCCCCCGTGGGGCTGGAGAATTTGCACTTCAGACAAGATCTCTGGTGAAGCTGTGCTGCTGATCTGTGGACCACATGCCATTAGAACCCCTGAAGCAGTGTTGAGACAACAGGGACCCTGGCGTGTTAGTAGATTCATAAATCCAATGTATTTCTTGCTCAGGTCACAGTTCTGTTGGGGTTAGAAGGTTCTCCATCCATGCACCATTGAGAGCACGTGGACATCCAGTCACTGTCGGAGGGAGGGCAGAGGGTCCAGTTGGGGTTAGATGGTTCTCTGTCCATGCACCATTGAGAGCACGTGGACATCCAGTCACTGTCGGAGGGAGGGAGGGCAGAGGGTCCCATTGGGGTTAGATGGTTCTCCATCCATGCACCATTGAGAGCACATGGACATCCAGTCACTGTGGGAGGGAAAGAGGGCAGAGGGTCCCATTGGGGTTAGAAGGTTCTCCGTCCATGCACCATTGAGAGCACATGGACATCCAGTCACTGTGGGAGGGAGGGAGGGCAGAGGGTCCCAATGGGGTTAGATGGTTCTCCATCCATGCACCATTGAGAGCACATGGACATCCAGTCACTGTGGGAGGGAGGGAGGGCAGAGGGTCCCAATGGGGTTAGATGGTTCTCCATCCATGCACCATTGAGAGCACATGGACATCCAGTCACTGTGGGAGGGAGGGAGGGCTGAGGGTCCCAATGGGGTTAGATGGTTCTCCGTCCATGCACCATTGAGAGCACATGGACATCCAGTCACTGTGGGAGGGAGGGAGGGCAGAGGGTCCCATTGGGGTTAGATGGTTCTCCATCCATGCACCATTGAGAGCACATGGACATCCAGTCACTGTGGGAGGGAGGGAGGGCAGAGGGTCCCATTGGGGTTAGATGGTTCTCTGTCCATGCACCATTGAGAGCACATGGACATCCAGTCACTGTGGGAAGGAGGGCAGAGGGTCCTATTGGGGTTAGAAGGTTCTCTGTCCATGCACCATTGAGAGCACATGGACATCCAGTCACTGTGGGAAGGAGGGCAGAGGGTCCTATTGGGGTTAGAAGGTTCTCCATCCATGCACCATTGAGAGCACATGGACATCCAGTCACTGTGGGAAGGAGGGCAGAGGGTCCTATTGGGGTTAGAAGGTTCTCTGTCCATGCACCATTGAGAGCACATGGACATCCAGTCACTGTGGGAAGGAGGGCAGAGGGTCCTATTGGGGTTAGAAGGTTCTCCGTCCATGCACCATTGAGAGCATGTGGACATCCAGTCACTGTGGGAGGGAAAGAGGGCAGAGGGTCCCATTGGGGTTAGAAGGTTCTCCGTCCATGCACCATTGAGAGCACATGGACATCCAGTCACTGTGGGAAGGAGGGCAGAGGGTCCTATTGGGGTTAGAAGGTTCTCCATCCATGCACCATTGAGAGCACATGGACATCCAGTCACTGTGGGAAGGAGGGCAGAGGGTCCTATTGGGGTTAGAAGGTTCTCCGTCCATGCACCATTGAGAGCACATGGACATCCAGTCACTGTGGGAGGGAAAGAGGGCAGAGGGTCCCATTGGGGTTAGAAGGTTCTCCGTCCATGCACCATTGAGAGCACATGGACATCCAGTCACTGTGGGAGGGAGGGCAGAGGGTCCTATTGGGGTTAGAAGGTTCTCCGTCCATGCACCATTGAGAGCACATGGACATCCAGTCACTGTGGGAGGGAGGGCAGAGGGTCCTATTGGGGTTAGAAGGTTCTCCGTCCATGCACCATTGAGAGCACATGGACATCCAGTCACTGTGGGAGGGAGGGCAGAGGGTCCTATTGGGGTTAGAAGGTTCTCCGTCCATGCACCATTGAGAGCACATGGACATCCAGTCACTGTGGGAGGGAGGGCAGAGGGTCCTATTGGGGTTAGAAGGTTCTCCGTCCATGCACCATTGAGAGCACATGGACATCCAGTCACTGTGGGAGGGAGGGCAGAGGGTCCTATTGGGGTTAGAAGGTTCTCCGTCCATGCACCATTGAGAGCACATGGACATCCAGTCACTGTGGGAGGGAGGGCAGAGGGTCCTATTGGGGTTAGAAGGTTCTCCGTCCATGCACCATTGAGAGCATGTGGACATCCGGTCACTGTCGGAGGGAAAGGGGCAGAGGGTCATGTGGGATGTTTAACGGCTAGACCTGAAATGGCTTTCCCTTGCTCACACCCCATTGCCCAAAACTCAATCACATGGACCCAAACTAACTGCAAGGGATACTGGGAAATGTAGTCCTCACCAGGAGGAGCAGATGGCATGATGCGCATACAGCTGGTCAGGGACTGTGTCAGGTGCTTCCCTACTTCAGCTTTCCTTTCTCTGGCCCAGGTGCTTTTAGTGGGCTTTCTCATATTCGCTATTTCTCATTTTTTCCCTTTAAAAACTGAAAAGAGAGTAGAGGGAAGGCACATTTCTTGTGTCCATCAGCCTCTTCTTTTTCCAGCAGCCCTCACCCTTTCAGAGGCCCAGGTCCTCAGCTTAACAGCTGTCAAGCACTTTGAAAACTCCCAGTGTCTCTAGTGGTTTTCGCATGTTTATTTTCATCTTTAGCAGCGCGGGGCTTCGCTCTCCAGCATTTGAGCAGACCTCTGGCTGCTGCTCCTGCGATGCCCGAACCCTGGGCTTGGGGCCACAGACAAGCTCCCAGTGGAAAGGATGCTTTTCCTGCTGCCTGGACCCACTGCCCAGACTGCTCCAATGCAGCTGCCTCAGACATCTGCAGGTTGCAGCTTTTGTGCCTTTCTATACGCTGACATCCGTCTGAATTCCCTCTCTTCCCTCCAGACTCCGCTCAAATGACACCAGCTCCACGAAGCCTTCGTCCGTCTGTCATTGTTGGGTTTGCCCTCCTTCTGGGGCCGAGAGGCCTGGGCAGCCTCTTTGTGCCTCTGGCCCAGCACTTGGCAAGGCCTGTGTAGACTGCGAGGCCTCTGCCCATGCCTGCCTCTCCTTGTAGAAGGTGACAAGTTCAAGAGCAGAGACTGCGCAGCATCCTTCACGGGCCTCTTCTTTAGCGGCAAGACTGAATCCAGAAGCTGCCCTGCAAAGAGTCAAGCCCTCTCCAAGATACAGAGGTGAAGAGTCAAGACTCTGGTGTTGGTTTGAATCCCGCTCTGCCACTTGTGGGCTGGGTGACTTTGGGAAAATTCTTAGCTTCTCTATGCTTCAATTTCCCCATCTGTACAGTGGGGCAAATAATGGTGTACATTTTTTTAATGAAATAATGTACCTGAAGTCCTTTTAACAGTGCGAAGTGCATGGAAAATACTCAAGAAACGCCAACCATCTTTCTGTCATCATTACTCTGGTCATTACCTCACTACTGCACACACTGGATGTACAAAATTACTTGTTGACAATTTTGTTAGTCTTGCATGTGCTTTTGCTTTTTTACTTGAGGCCCTTCTGCGTGGACATTTCTATCCCTCACTTACTCATTCATACCTAGTCATTCATTTATTTAACAACGAGGTGGTTTTGCTCATCAGTATTCATCTTGTACGTTCATCGCAGTCAGCCCTTGGTGGTCATTCCCACTGGATTCACCTCTTCTGTTTCAAAGGTCTGTGTCCTCTTCTGCATCTCTGTGAACTTGACACTGGGCTTACTGCTTTGAACCCAGTTCATGGTTGGAATACAGTAGGAGCTTAATAAATGTTTGTTGAACGAATACATGAATGTTGTCCATTTCGGATTCTGTCCCCAGTGCTTAGTGCATTGTAGGTGCTTGCTCAGGACTGTTTCTGTTGCATGAAGCCATATCATTCTGAATTCACATCACTGAAAGGTCCGGCTAGGGGAGGACCACTTTGAATTGGCATATCTGGATTTCGCCTCTTTCTGATCCAAAAGGCTTCCCCTGGTCCTGCTGGATGACGTTCAAAATGACAAGTGGGGCTCTTCTCTGAAACGTGCAGCTGCGTTCCTTGGTCCATGCCTCGAGTCATCAAGAACTGCTCAGCCAGCATGTTTGATGACCCACTTCAGAGGTGTCTCATGGTCTACGGGAATCTCACGCCTACAGAAATGCCTGGACACCGAGGAGGGAGGAAGAGGAAGGTAGGAAGAGGCCCTTCTTCACTGGTCGGTGTCCTAGAGAAGAAGATTCAGCGTCAAATGATTATCCCACTAATCTCATAGGTGGATGGCAACCTGTGGCCCAAAAAGTCCCTTAGGCCCTTCTTTCATGTGTTTGACTTTTTTGGCAGCTGAGTTCTGGTCTTGCTTGGCAAGGTAGCTCTAGAACTTAGTCTGCCTCCTTCCTACCTCACCTCCTGAAACTGCTGTTTATTGGCCCCTTGGGGGTCGCAGGATGGGAAGTTTGTTCTCCCCAGGGCAGGCCAGGATAGAACTTTGTGTGCTGGCGGTGGGCTCACAGCAGAAGGTGGTACAGAGATTCAGGTGTGGAAGGGTCAAGGCTGGCTCCCATCCCACCTGACCTCCTTAAAGGGACACACACGGGCTGTTGCCTACTTATGTGGAGGAACTGCACATGTTTTTATAGGCATTTTTCTTTTGTTTTCTAGCACTATTTATTCATAGTTGTCCCAATGTCAACCCAGTGTTTACTTCTTATCAGTTGTCGTGCCTAAAACCACACATAATTTTTGAGTATACAATATTCTTTCCCCGTGAATCAAAAATCATATTAATTGAGATCTGAGTCTATGGCACAGGCTTTGCTTGGTATTTTCACACCTATTGTCTCATTTCTTCTTCACAATGATCCTGCAAGGTAGATATTATTAGTTCCACATTACAAGTGGCGGAACTGTGGCTCATAGATTTTAATTACATGTAGCTAGTGTCATTTCATTGCATATATAATCCGCCTGTCCCTTTAATGGTCCTTTTGCAGGTTCTTTTTCAGGCAATTTCGGCATTTGGTTTCTTCCGCATCACGCATTACACGTCTAGACTGCTGTGCTTGCATTTCATGGTCTCCTGTAATAAAGGCTTCTGAATGTGGGCTTGAACACTAATTTGTTTGTAGTTATTATTTCCCAAAAGGAAAAAAAAAATGTCCACTTATGTTTCTCTCTCTCTTTTTTTTAAATCTTTCCAGACCCTGAGGGGCTGATACTCTGTGTCTCTTTTGGGGGCAGATGTAACCGAGAAATCAATACAGTTAGATTAATCCATGGCAACCATAATGTCACTGCACCTCCCGGCCCGTGATGTTGACAGGGATGTCGGAGCCAGGAGGAGGGAGGTACTTAAAGGAACGGATGGGGGGGCCTCTGGAGTGAAGGGGAGAATTAAAACCCCATGGCTCCTCACTTAGCGGAGGAGAAAGTGCAGGTGGCTGCCTCTGGCATAATCAGGTCTTTCTTCAGAGAAGCGGTGGCTTGAGTCAGGCATGGCAGGGGGTCTGCAGCCCTCTGCCCTGCAGCCCCTCCAGGAAGATGAAATCAGCAGCGGGGTGCAGCGGCCTGAGCTGGAATCTCTCTCCTTCAGATGCCAGAGGTGGGGTGTGCCTGGGCAGATGTCACGCAATTTCCTTCTTCCAGTGGATCTGGCCCTGCTTCTTCATCATCATCATCATCATCATTAATATTTCCTGAAACAAGGAGAGAGCATCTTTCATAAGCAGTGTTCACGTCATGGGAGCACTCAAGGTGTGCTTGAACGGGGACTATTGGTCCAGGGCACATGCACTTAGTTGACAACTGTGTACAGTATTGAGGGCCTTCTGGATGTCAGGTGCTGTTCTGGGTGTGGGGGAGGGGACAGGGGTAGGAGCTCTGCAATAAACAAAATATACAAGACCTGTGCCTTCAGGGAGCTCACACTCTAGTGGAGACTAGGAATTGAGCTAGACTACTAGCTTGACTTTTCTCTCCCCTACCGAGGTGGCCTGCTGCCACCAGAATCTTCCCTCCTTCCTTTGTAGACCAGTGATTCTCAACCAGAGGCAGTTTGGCCCCAGAATGTATTTGGCAATGCCTGGAGACATTTTTGGTTGTCAGGATGTGTGTGTGTGTGTGTGTGTGTGTGTGTGTGTGTGTGTGTTACTAGCATCTAGTATATAGAGGCCAGGGGTACTACCAAACATCATACTGTGCACAGGACAGTACCCCAAACAAGGATGTATTCCCCCTGCAATGCCGACAGTGACAAAAGTGAGAAAGCCTGATGGACAGAGAAATGGCTGCTCAGCCAGTGACTGAATTTCCCAGCTACACAAGACCAGTGGAGTGTGAACAGGAGTCCTGTGCCAACACCCTGGTACACAGCTTTTAAAGAGTGAGTGTGCCTCTTTTCCCTTCCTGAGGCTGGATGAAGAGAGCAACGAGGTCCCACATTATTGGGACCCTATGCCATTATGTGGGAGAGCTGTCTGCTAATCAGAGATGCTCATCTTAGAATGTCCTGGGTTTGAGAAATAAAATTCTATTGTGTTTCAACCATTTTGCATTTTGGGTACTTTCAGTTATAGCAATTTAATCTACCCTAACTATTGTAGTCATTAAGTTTTATCAATAGTTTTCCAATAATAAGAATAGCTAATGTTTATTGAGCATACACGGAGTCAGACATGAAGCTTTTTAAACTTAAGATCTCTTTTTCTTTTCTTGCCAACCCTATGAAATGGGTACAGTTATTATCTTTGGTTTTCAGATTAAGGAACAAATGCTCAAGAGGTTAGCATAGTTGTAATTGAAAAACACAGGTTCAGCTGCCTGCTGCAACAAAAGCCATACTCATGAGACAGATGCTGGTGCAAAAGGAAAGAGGTTTATTCAGGTGCCACACAACCTGGAGGAATGGTGGACTCCTGTCTCAAAGACCATCTTCCCTCCTGCTCAAGCCCATGGTTCTTATAGGAATAGGGAAGGAGAGGGTTTTCTTCAATGCAATTATCTTTCTAGCTTTTGGCATGCGTTGGGCCCTGCCTATTCATCTTTCTAGCTTTTGGCAGCTTAGTGTAAAACTTCCCCTGTGCCATCTTGACCAATCAGTCTTCCCTGGCACTCCGACTGATCGTCTGTGGTAACATGGCAAGTAAGTACCATATGATAGTCTTTTCTTAATTAAATGTATTGAGGTAACCTTGGTTAATAACATTATATAAATTTCAGGTGCTTAACATTATAGTCCAATTATCTGTATACTTTATTGTGTTCTCACCACCAACAGTGTACTTTCCTTCCATTACCATTTTGATTCCCTTTCCCCAGTTCACACTCCCCTCACCTCCTCCCTCTCTGCTAACTCCCATTTTGCTGTCTGTTATCTATGAGTTTGCTTTGTTGTGTACTGTTAGTGCACTTTTTTGTTCTATGTTCCACATATGAGCAAAATCATATGGTTTTTGTCCTTTTCTCTCTGACATATTTCATTTAGAATAATACTCTCAAGATTCATCCATGTTTTCAGATGGCAGTAGTCTATCTTCTTATGGCTAAATAGTCTTTTGTCATGTACATGCACCACCTCTTGATCCATTCATCTGTTGGTGGTCATATGGCTTTAAAAATTTTTTTTAAATTTATTGCTGACACTATTACAGATGTCCACCATTCTCCCCTCTTTATCCACCTCCACACAGCACCCACCCACCCCCACCCTCGGCCATCACCACACTATTGTCTGTGTCCATGGGCTATTGCATGTATGTTCTTGGCTAATCTCTTCACCTGCCAGATTCCAGTCTCAACCACTGGATTTTCTTTTTCCCTCCTTAATATATCTTCACTTGGGCATCACCATCTCCATTCAAGGTCACTGTAACTATTTCCTCTTAGGCCCTTCTGCCTCCATTTTGAACCCTTTAGGTAGAATGACTTGCTTCTTTCCTGCCCACTCTCTTTGGTGAGTCCCTACTGCCTTCAGGGTAAAGCAGAAAATGGTCCCTCTGTGATCTACCCCAACCTACTCTACCACCTTCATCATCACTTGTTCCTTCTTCCCTTGGCTACATACCCTGGGCATCTGCATTGCAAAAGGAAAGGATTATTTTTCCCAAATTATTCTTACCCTGCAGAGGGAATCACAGTTAAAGCAACAAGTTTCCCACGTGTATTTTCAAGAATTCAAGCAAAGATTGTTTGACCATCTCCTGGGAACTCTGTTGAAAGGGTTCTTATATTGGGTGGGAGGTTCATTTCAACCAGACATTTGCTACAGTTCTTCAAAAACACAGCTAATTGCATAAGGTAAAGTGAATCCAGTTTTTCAACTTTGTTAAGCTCTCAAATTCTGTTTGTTCTATTAAAGACCATATTGACTTTAGAGAGTAATTTGGCAGGATGACAAGATAGCAACTTTACTCCTAATTATACTCCCTAGAGAACGCTCATGTGCAAAGGCAAAATGTAGTATTTGTAATAGCACAAAACTGCTAAGCTAAATGTCTATCCACAGGAGACTGGGCAAGATAAACTTGTACAAAGAGTATTCTGTGGGAGTGAAAATAAATGAACTAGAGCTACATGGGATAAATATAAATGGATCTCAAAAACATAATGTTAAGCATTAAAAGCAGTTGGAAGAATAGGTATAATATGATGTCATAAAAGTGTTATACATTGTGCCAGTCAGAGCCCCAGTAACAAACAGAAAGCGCACTGGGAATTCTTAAGGAAGGGAAGGGACCATGAACAGTGGTGGCAGGTGTGGAAGATTGTTTTATGTCTACAAAGCCTCCCCTCCCGCTATGTCATGCCCCTTTGCTGCCCTTCCACCCGAGGTGGAATCTCGTTTTCCATCCCTGTTCATCTGGGCTGGCTTTGTGGCTCGTTTTGACCAATAGACTGTGGCCCAGGTGACCCAGAGTGAGCTGCAGAGGCCTTATAGTTTCTGCTTTCACTCTTTGCAAATGCTTCTGACGCGTGAAGACGCCTGCACTAGCCTCCTGGAGGCTTCGTGGAGAGAAAGACCCAGATGCCAGCCAGCAACAACCACCAGCTACTTGAGTGAGGCCACCCGGGACCAGCCAGTCCCCAGCCGACCACCAATTGGCTATAGTAAATGAGTCCGTGCAGCCAATACCACTTTGAATAGAAAAGCTTCCTAGCAGCTTTGTGGAGAGACCCGTGTGTGAAAGATGCACCCCCACAAATTCCTGACCCACAAACACTGTGAGATGATAAATGCTGTTGTTTTAAGCCACTGCATTTTGAGGTGATTCTTATCCACCAGTGGTACCAGAAGGGCAGAAGGAAGGAATAGTTTCAAGCAGGCTTACTAGGCACCCAAGCCTCTGCCAAATTCTTTCACAGAAGCCATATGTAAGTTAAGTCTTTGCAAGCACCCCATGAACCTGGGCATTAATTACCTCTCGGTCCCAGGTAAGAGGGCCAGAGGCTGAGTAGCTTGCCCAGGTCCCCTTGCTAGGCACAAGGGCTGTTGAGAGTCAGATGCACCTTTGCCTGGATGAAAGACCCTTCCCAGTGTCACAGCGGGGGCCAGTCTTACCCACATTCCTCTGTCTTCATTCCTCCCTCCTTCCCTCCTTTCCACCCTTTTTTTCTCTGAAGTTGGGACCAGAGGAAGAGATAACATGATCCCTGAATATTATTTGGCTAAAAGAAATGCTTAAGATACAATAGGGCATATGAAGCCTGCCTTTTTTTTTTTTTTTTTAAATAACCCCACAGCACCTGGCCTAGGTGGGCGCCACAGGAGCCACGGTGATTGATGGGAGTGTTTTTTGAATTCAGCTGGCAAAGCCCGGGCAATCATCCCTGCCTCCTGGGTGGAATGTGATTTACAATTTTCCTCTTTAGTGGCATCTTAAGCCAAACAGGCACTTTTGTTTCCATGGAGAACCCATTCTTTCCTGCTCCTCGGTGGATTGCCCACTTGTCCTTCCTGCTCCCTCCCTCCTTTCTCTCTCTTTCCATTGCTCCCTTTCCTTTCTTTCTCCTTCATCCATGTCTCAGTTTCTTCTGCCTGGTCCTCACTCCCTGGAGCCTGGGGTCAGCAGCAGGCAAGCTGATGCCTTGGACCTCACCTCGGGAAGGGCAGTGCTTGCCCTGCCTGTGCCCCTGCGGAGAGGGCTTCAGAGCCCTCGGGCCTGAACCGTCTTACCCTAGACCAGTGGTTCTTGGCCTTCCTGACGCCGCGACCCTTTCACACGGCTCCCCGTGTTGTGGGGACCCCCAACCATAAAATTATTTACGTTGCTACTTCATAACTGTAATTTTGCTACTGTGATGTCTTAGGCGACCCCTGTGAAAGGGTCATTCAGCCCCCACGGGGGTCTGACCCACAGGTTGAGAACCGCTGCCCTAGGTCTTTGGCCGTATTCTCAGAGCTTGTTTTGCAAAGGGCTCAGAGCTGGGGAGCTAGCCTGGGCCAGGGCCAGGGCCAGCAGCTGTGGCACCGCCTCGGTTCCGGTTCCGGGGACACATTTGCGTGGCCAGCGTAGCTGCGTGGCCTCAGGTGGCTCACCTCATCTCTCGGCTTCTGCCCCTGCACAGTGAGACTAACTCCCCCAAGAGTGACTGAGAACATGCTGGGGAGCCGGCCCGACCGGGGGCTGCAGGGGAGGTTCCGGGGCCGAGATCCCCACGGCAAAGAAAGCACGCAGAGCGCCATCAGGAGGGACGCAGCCGCACAGCAGCTCCTACAGACCCAGCAAGGGGATTATGTCCCGGGCGGTGTGGCGCATGCGTCCTAGGCTTTGGCTGGGTCCTGCTTACATAAGAAAGCAGGGTCTGCGCCTGCGCAGCCGGTTCCGGGCCCCTGCCCTGCACCCCGGCCTCCACTGCAGGCCCGGTTCCCAGGCCGGAACACCACCCCGGAGGCTGGTGTCGGGACTTCCCCATAAGGCACCGCCCTGTGCCCAGAGCGCGCAGCCGCAGCCCAGGCTGCAGCGCAGAACCACGGGACCTCCGTGAGGCCTGCAGGGGCGTGTGCCCACACTGGCGGGTCGCCCTCCTTCTGCCAGGCCGTTCCCACGGGTCCTGCTGCATGTCTCCCCCCACAGGGCTCGGTGGCCTATAAGCCCCTCTGGGCAGCCCCAGAGCCAAGCCCCTGGACAGCGCCCAGCCACCGGAGCACACCCGCACGCTCCCCACGTGGCTCTTAATTCAGCCCATTGACTCGAGCGCCTGGCTCCGGGATGGTGCCAAAAGGTGTCCGCAGCCGGTTGCAGGGCCGTCGCCGCCCACGTCAGCGGTTGGCCTCGGCAAGAACCATCAGTACGCCAAGCATCAGCCGGAGGGGGAGGCTTTCCCTCCGCAAAGGGGCTGGGGCCCTCCTGGCTTCCACAGAGGGCTCTTCCCGTTCTGCCCTACACTGTCCAGGTCCCAGCAAGGAGGGCAGCTCCTGTGTCCAGGGGTGGTAGAGGGCCGAGCCCTCTGTTCCAGGTATGCGCCCGCTGTCGGAGTGGGAATCCGGGCCACCCCGTGCATGGCCGGGTAGCCCACGACTAGCCAGCCCTCTACCGGGTAGGTGGCTGCACTGTGACAGGACAGGGACCAATGACGCGCTCACTGGCTAACGGCTGCACACACCGCCGCCAACTGCTTCTCAGGGAGGGAGTGACGACTCTCAGCTCCCTCCCACAACTGGGACCTAAACCCAATAGGACTCTTCCAAGGCCCTTGTTTCTGCCAGGGACCCCAGTCACACCCCGAGTCGGACACCTGTATGGTGAGGAGTAGCAGAGCCGGATCCACGACTCAATGTGTGAGCAGGGCCACTGCCCGCTTCACGGCCAGAAATGCTTGCTCCATCTCAGGAGACCAGGCCCAGGCCTCCCCCTTCCAGGCCACGCGGTAGAGGGTTCATCAGCATGGCTAAGTGGGGTGTAAAGTTTCCCCAGAGCCCTGGCAATCCCGAGTGTGTCTGCAACTGTTTCGCTGTTTCTGGTTGGGGACAGGCTGCATCTTATCCATAATCGCCTCTGGCGTGACCTACGTCTTACTGACCCAACAACACCCAAGCACTTGACAGTGTACCCAGGCCCTTGGACTGAGTCCCCATTGATGGCCCACCCCAGTCCGCCAGGGCTTCCCGAAGACTGTGTGCTCTGGCTCCTAGCTCTGCAAGAGACTCAGAGGCCGACATTCTGTCATCAGTGCAATGGAACAAGTGTAAATGCGGAGGTTTGTTCCAGGACGCTAAGTCCGGGCCACCAAACCATGACAGCGTTGGACTGTTCGGTTCCTGTAGTCCACAGCCACCCTCCAGGGGCCAGCAGGCTTTCCTGCCGGCCACACGGGTCCTGAAGGAGGGCTCACCCACGTCGCGGCCCTCTGCCCTTCCCCCGCCCTGTCCGACTGGGCTTCCACCGCCGCAGCATCTCAGGCCTGCTCCCCAAAGCCTCGTCCATGGCCAGGGCGGGGGACTCCTCCGGTGGCGGAGGACAGGCCATGTGTCCTGCCGGCCACCCCCTCACTGTTCGCTGCGGGCTTGGCCCTGCCTCCACCTCCTGGTGCTCTCTGCCCGCGGCCTCCTGAGTGCTGAGCCCCCGGCTGCGACAGTTCCGAAGGCGGTTTGCTGGCTGGATGCTGCTGTCCCAGCTCACTTGCTCCTTGGCCACCTTGGCGGCTGCTGCGTTCTCCGCGCCCCGCATGGGCTTCCCGCTTCTGTCGCACCAAAGCCGTCCGCCGCACCCTTCAAGCCGAGGACATACAGCGTCCCGATCTTGCAGTGACATCCAGGCCATCAGGTACACTGCTACCTGGTACTTGGGGCCACATCCCATCCACGTGGTGCTGCTCCTCGCCAAGGGCTGTTGGGGTCTCACATCATCCTGCTGGCTACAGAAAGTGTCATCGACCAGGGTTGCAAGGGAGGTTCCTGCAGTGAGATACCCAAGGTAAAGAAAGCACATGGAGCCCGGGCCGGTTTGGTCCAGCGGTTGGAGCATCGGCCCATGGACCAGTGAGTCTCGGGTTCGATTCCGGTCAAGGGCATGTACCTTGTTGCAGTTCATCCTGGCCCTGGTTGGGGTCACATGGGAGGGAACCCGTCCATGTGTCCCTCTCATGCCAGTGTTTCTCTCTCTCTTCTTCGTACTCTATCTGAAGATGAATAGAAAAATATCCTCGGGTAAGGATTAAAACAAAACAAAAAAGCACGCAGCACTAACATCAGGACGGAAGCAGCACAGCCGCAGGTAGCAGCCCATGGTGGCCCATAGGGGCCCATGGTAGCTCCGCAGTAGTGGCCTGTAGCGGCCCATATTAACTCCGCAGGAGCGACCTGTAGCGGCCCATTGGCCCTTAATATCTCCGCAGTAGTGGCCCGTAGCAGCCCATGGTAGCTCCGCAGTAGCGGCCCGTAGTGCCCCATGGTAGCTCCTCAGTAGCGGCCCATAGTGCCCCATGGTAGCTCCGCAGTAGCAGCCCGTAGCGGCCCATGGTAGCTCCGCAATAGCGGCCCGTAGCGGCCCGTAGTGGCCCGTAGTGCCCCATGGTAGCTCCGCAGTAGTGGCCCGTAGCGGCCCATGGTAGCTCCGCAGTAGCGGCCCGTAGCGGCCCATGGTAGCTCCGCAATAGCGGCCCGTAGCGGCCCGTAGTGGCCCGTAGTGCCCCATGGTAGCTCCGCAGTAGTGGCCCGTAGAGCCCCATGGTAGCTCCGCAGTAGCGGCCCGTAGCGGCCCATGGTAGCTCCGCAGTAGCGGCCTGTAGCGACCCATAGTGGCCCATGGTAGCTCCGCAGTAGCGGCCCGTAGTGCCCCATGGTAGCTCCACAGTAGTGGCCCGTAGCAGTCCATGGTAGCTCCGCAATAGTCTTCGTAGTGGCCCATAATAGCTCCGCAGTAGCGGCCCGTAGCGGCCCATGGTAGCTCCACAGTAGCGGCCCGTAGCGGCCCATGGTAGCTCCGCAGTAGCGACCCGTAGTGGCCCATGGTAGCTCCGCAGTAGCGGCCTGTAGCGACCCATAGTGGCCCATGGTAGCTCCGCAGTAGCGGCCCGTAGTGCCCCATGGTAGCTCCGCAGTAGTGGCCCGTAGACCCCCTTGGTAGCTCCGCAGTAGTGGCCCGTAGTGCCCCAAGGTAGCTCCGCAGTAGCGGTCTGTAGCGACCCATAGTGGCCCATGGTAGCTCCGCAGTAGCGGCCTGTAGCGACCCATAGTGACCCATGGTACCTCCACAGTAGCGTCCCGTAGCAGTCCATGGTAGCTCCGCAATAGTCTCCGTAGTGGCCCGTAATAGCTCCGCAGTAGCGGCCCGTAGCGGCCCATGGTAGCTCCGCAATAGTCTCCGTAGTGGCCCGTAATAGCTCCGCAGTAGCGGCCCGTAGCGGCCTATGGTAGCTCCGCAGTAGCGGCCCGTAGAGCCCCATGGTAGCTCCGCAGTAGTGGCCCGTAGTGCCCCATGGTAGCTCCGCAGTAGCGGCCTGTAGCGACCCATAGTGGCCCATGGTAGCTCCGCAGTAGCGGCCTGTAGCGACCCATAGTGGCCCATAGTACCTCCACAGTAGCGTCCCGTAGCAGCCCATGGTAGGTCCGCAATAGTCTCCGTAGTGGCCCGTAATAGCTCCTCAGTAGCAGCCCGTAGTGCCCCATGGTAGCTCCGCAGTAGCGGCCCGTAGAGCCCCATGGTAGCTCCGCAGTAGCGTCCCGTAGTGCCCCATGGTAGCTCCGCAGTAGTGGCCCGTAGAGCCCCATGGTAGCTCCGCAGTAGTGGCCTGTAGCGACCCATAGTGGCCCATGGTAGCTCTGCAGTAGCGGCCTGTAGCGACCCATAGTGGCCCATAGTACCTCCACAGTAGCGTCCCGTAGCAGCCCATGGTAGGTCCGCAATAGTCTCCGTAGTGGCCCGTAATAGCTCCTCAGTAGCAGCCCGTAGTGCCCCATGGTAGCTCCGCAGTAGTGGCCCGTAGTGCCCCATGGTAGCTCTGCAGTAGTGGCCCGTAGTGCCCCATGGTAGCTCCGCAGTAGTGGCCCGTAACCCCATTGTAGCTCCGCAGTAGTGGCCCGTAGTGCCCCATTGTAGCTCCGCAGTAGCTGCCCATAATGCCCCATGGTAGCTCTGCAGTAGTGGCCCGTAGTGCCCCATGGTAGCTCCGCAGTAGTGGCCCGTAGTGCCCCATTATAGCTCCGCAGTAGTGGCCCGTAGTGCCCCATGGTAGCTCCGCAGTAGTGGCCCGTAGTGCCCCATTGTAGCTCCGCAGTAGTGACCCGTAGTGCCCCATGGTAGCTCAGCAGTAGCTGCCCATAGTGCCCCATTATAGCTCCGCTGTAGTGGCCCGTAGTGCCCCATTATAGCTCCGCAGTAGTGGCCCGTAGTGCCCCATGGTAGCTCCGCAGTAGTGGCCCGTAACCCCATTGTAGCTCCGCAGTAGTGGCCCGTAGTGCCCCATTGTAGCTCCGCAGTAGCTGCCCATAATGCCCCATGGTAGCTCTGCAGTAGTGGCCCGTAGTGCCCCATGGTAGCTCCGCAGTAGTGGCCCGTAGTGCCCCATTATAGCTCCGCAGTAGTGGCCCGTAGTGCCCCATGGTAGCTCCGCAGTAGTGGCCCGTAGAGCCCCATGGTAGCTCCGCAGTAGCGGCCCGTAGTGCCCCATGGTAGCTCCGCAGTAGCGGCCTGTAGCGACCCATAGTGGCCCATAGTACCTCCACAGTAGCGTCCCGTAGCAGCCCATGGTAGGTCCGCAATAGTCTCCGTAGTGGCCCGTAATAGCTCCTCAGTAGCAGCCCGTAGGGCCCCATGGTAGCTCCGCAGTAGTGGCCCGTAGTGCCCCATTGTAGCTCCGCAGTAGTGGCCCATAGTGCCCCATGGTAGCTCAGCAGTAGCTGCCCATAGTGCCCCATTATAGCTCCGCAGTAGTGGCCCGTAGTGCCCCATTATAGCTCCGCAGTAGTGGCCCGTAGTGGCCCTTTATAGCTCCGCAGCAGTGGCCCGTAGTGCCCCATTATAGCTCTGCAGTAGTGGCCCTTAGTGCCCCATGGTAGCTCCGCAGTAGTGGCCCGTAGTGCCCCATTATAGCTCCGCAGTAGCTGCTCATAGCGGGCCATGGTAGCTCCGCAGTAGCTGCCTGTAGTGATTCATGGTATCTCCGCAGTAGCGCCCCGTAGTGGCCCGTAGTAGCTCCACAGTAGGGCCGGTAGCTGCCCGTAGTAGCTCTGCAGTAGCGGCCCGTAGCAGCCCATAGTTGCTCCGCAGTAGCAGCTCGTAGCGGCCCGTAGCAGCAGCGGCTTTTATAGACTAGTGCAATGACATGATCTCGGGGCGGTGTGTGCTATGGCATGATCTCACGGGGCGGTGCGTGGCGCATGCGTCCTAGGCGTTGGCTGTGCCGTGCTTATATAGGAAAGCAGGGTCTGCGCCTGTGCAGCCAGTTCCATGATCCTGTCCTGAACCACAGCCTCTGTCCACGGCAGGTCCTGTTCCCAGGGCCTATCAGGAGCCGCCGGGAGAAACTGGAATCCTGTCCCTAGCTTCTGCGCGTCACTCTGCGGCTGCCTCTGCCTCCTGGCCCTGAGCTCCTTTGCTACCAGCTGCTGCAGGAGGACCGAGGCTCCTCAGAGGGAGTGGAGCTCTCAGACCCGGGCAGAGCCAGCCCCAGCGTGCATTCTGGGGCTGCCTTTGTATTTCCACCTGCGGACTCCCAGAAACACCACCTCTCCTCACGTGCAGTGTCTGGGCCTTTGGAACCGAAGAGGAAGATGCCGCCAGCCTCGGCGTTGCCTGTGAGTAGTTTTAAGTGTCTGTGTCGAAGTGTGCGTGTTTGTGTAGCGTGCAGGGATGTCTGTGTGCACACCGAGTGTGCCTACCTGTGCACGTACATTTTCTCCACCAAAAATGGATATTAACTTGCTGAATCACATACCGAAATCATCAGAGACGGCTACAACTATTTCGGTTGCTTACAAACATCTAAAGAACTATTAAGTAATGAAGGTAACATCGGGTTGCTATTAGGGAATGTGTGGGTCAGTCTGCAGGTGTTTCTTATATGTGATAGTGTTGTTATTTTATTTTATTAATCCTCTCCCGAGAATATTGTTTTCATTTAACTTCAGATAGAGTGGGAGGGAGGGAGAGAAACATCGACGTGAGAGGGACACATCAACTTGTTGGCTCCCGCACAACCCCGACCAGGGCCAAGGACGAACCGCAACTGAGGCGTATGCCCTTGGCTGGAATCAAACCTGAGACTCATTGGTCCACAGGCCGACGCTCTACTGCTGAGCCAAACTGGCCAGGGCATAAATGATATTATTATTTTTTATCCTCACCCGAGGACATTTTTGCATTTATCTTAGGATAGAGTGAGAGGAAGGAAGAGAGAGAAACATCGACATGAGAGAGACACATCAAGTGGCTGCCACCCACACGACCCCAACCAGGGCCAGGGACGAACTGCAACCGAGGTACGTGCCGTTACCGGAACCGAACCCAGGACTCTCTGGTCCGTGGGCCAACGCTCTAACCGCTGAGCCAAGCTGGCCAGGGCATCAGTGATATTATTATTTGACCTTGGGCTAGTTCTTTATTCATCTGCACCCTGTCTGTGAAATGAGGCAGTTTGCTTCAGACCACATGGTCCATGGATCTAACCATGGAATCCTACTACCCCCGCAAGTGTATGCAAAACGTTGTGTGTGTGTGTGTGTTTCCTGGACAGATGATTCATACCATCAGGCCCTGGAAGAGGTCGGTGACCACCCTGCACCCTCAAAGAGGACCTCTAATTCTCATATTCGAGTATGATTTCCTCCTTTCCCCAGAAGAAGGGGGAGTGGAAGCTGGGAGAATTTATTCTGAGTGAATCTCCGTTGAGTGGTGTGAGATGAGCGTCCGATGTATCAGGGGATAGCTGGGAGGCAAGCTGTATCTTTTCTTTTAAAGTCACCGTTAAAAAATGTTTCTGACTCCCATTCCTGTGGCTTCTTGCCGCTTACTTTGCACAGAAGCTGTTCTTTTGTCTCCCTGGCCAGATACTGACTGTGTCATTAGTTGTGGCTATTGGTCATTTCCTGTCTCGCTCTGCCAAATAATCATGTTGTTTTGACTGGGATTAGAGTCAGTCCAGAGCTATGAACTTAGTTTCACAGTAACGAGCAAATGAATTTCCTCTAATGTGGAAGGAAAGGATAACAAGGCAGGGAAATAGCACTCACCGGGCTTCTGCAGGATCCCAGGCTGTCTGCCTGAAATCCATTCATTTGTTTAGTGACGCATGTCTGTTTCCAACCGGTGTTCAGTGAACACCTATCATACTTTGGCCATTGTTCTAGGTGCTGGGGATATAGAAGTGAGCAATCAGACAAAAAAAAAAAAAAAAAGTTTCCACATTTCTGTTCTGGTGGGAAAGATAAAATATGTTAGTAAAAAGAGTTAGTAAAATATATAGGCTTTACATGCTACTTCAGGACAGGTTGGCAAGACGTTCTACGTATTATAACTGCTATATCAGAGGATGAGAGACTTCAAGTAACTCAACCAGCATCACATAGCAGGTAAAAGGCTGACCTAAGCCCGGCCGGTGTGGCTCAGTGGACTGAGAGGTCTCAGTTTGATTCCTGGTCAGGGCAAATGCCCAGGTTGAAGGCTCGATCCCCAGTGGGGGGCGAGCAAGGAGGCAGCTGATGGATATTTCTCTATCACCTCGATGTTTTTTCTTTCTTTTCTTTTCTTTTCTTTTCTTTTCTTTTCTTTTCTTTTCTTTTCTTTTCTTTTCTTTTCTTTTCTTTTCTTTTCTTTTCTTTTCTTTTCTTTCTTTTCCTCACCTGAGGACATTTTTTCATTTTTTGTTCAGATAGAGTGGGAGGGAGAGAGAGAGAGAAACATCAACGTGAAAGGGACACATCGAGTGGCTGCCACCCGCATGACCCAACCAGGGCCAGGGACAAACTGCAACCGAGGTACATGCCCTTAGCGGGAACCGAACCCGGGTCTCTCTGGACTGCAGGCCAACGCTCTAACCGCTGAGCCAGACCGGCCAGGGCTCACCTCGATGTTTCTATCTCTCTCTCTCTCCAAAACCAACAAAAACATGTAAAAAAAAAAAAAAAAAAAAAGGCTGACCTGAACTTTCAACGTTGGGTCTTCCTGACTCCCAAGTTTATACTGTCTCCCCCTCTGAAAGCAGCAGCCACTACCTAAGAACCTCTCCTTCAGCTGTGAGCCATTGGGTCAAATGTTTCTAGGCTAATTCTCAGGCCAGTGGAGGTCCGAGTTCATGTGGAGAACCCTGCCATTAGTGAGTCATGCTCAGCAGCTCCCGTACTGTCGTCCTTGACCACATCCGCAGCTCTTCCGAGAACCCTGCCGTGAGAGAGGGAGCGGAGACAATGATAAGGAAACTTATGTCAATCAGGTCTATGCCAGTGAATCTCCCAATTCAATCGAATCGGAGAAAGTAAGAGGGTATAAAACGTGTTGAGTCACCGTAAAAGGAGAAGGCTCGTCCTCAGCTTCCGGACATCACACATAGGATACGGCAGTGATTTAGAAAGTGAATCTGTGGCAGCAAAAGGACACCAAGAAGAAATGCCTTTATTTTACCTTTATTTTTGAAGAAGAGTGAAAGGGTACACAACTCTTGATTGATAGTTTTTTTTCTTCTAGTTGCAGTTTGAATCTATTATTCCAGCATCTACTGGCATCCATAGTTTCTGATGAGGTGTCAGTGTTTTATTTTGTTAGTTGCCAACAGAATGTGTTGTTTCCTTTGGCTACGTCCATGATTTTAGCTATCTTTGGCATTCAGAATTTCTGCGGTGATGTCTTCAGGAATGTCTTTCATTGTGCTTCTGCTAAGTTCTTTTTAAGCTTTTGGGATCTTCAACTTAATGTTTTAGACACAGTTTGGGAAGTTAGGAGCCGTTATTTATTCAAATAACTTTTCTGGCCTCTTTTAGCTCTTTACTTCTTCTTCATGCTATTTACACAAATATTGGATCTTGTTTGATATTGTCAGGTCCCTTAGCTTCTGTTTATTTTTCTCAATATTTTTAATTTTCGTTGTTTGAATTGAATAGTGTCTATTGATCTGTCTTTGTATTGCATATTCACTGATTGTTTCCTCATTTGATCATTCATTGCTACCATATTTTGAGACTTTTGTCTGATAATGATAATATTTTTTCCCATGCAAAGTCATTTTCTATGAGTTCCTCTTGTTCTTTGCATATGTAGTAATTTTTGGTTGAAAACTGGACATTATAGATAACACACTATAGTAACTTTGTATTATGTTGTGTTCATCTAAGGGTTACTGGGTTTTTGTTATAGTAAGCAATTAACCTGCCTGGATTCAAAAGTATGTAGTACCTGGTATTTTTACTCTATTTTTATGGCTTTCTACTTCTCCTTTTTTAGCCTGGCTCCCTGGGGGTCTCTCGCTTGCCTGTAACTTGGTTATTTGCCAAGAATTTGGGTAGCGATGGGACTCACACTTTCAGTAGCTTTCTTTTTCTTCTTCTAGGGTTTCCCCACTAATTTCTCGTTTGTCCGTCAACCTCAGGTTCTGTTTCCTGACATTTCAAGCTCAGAGGGCTTTGGTTTTCTGCTATCCCAGCTGTACAAAAGTGTGAATACACTCAGTTAAAAAAACAAAAACAAAAAACAAAAAACAAGACAGAAAACTCACAGAGCTCACCCATTTTAGCTCTGCGTTGAAGCAGCAGACTTCCTTCTGGTCTCTGCTTGCTGCCTGCTGCCCCTCTGCATCGCTCCCGCACACGCACAGGTGAGCAGTCAGCCAGGGCTTTGAGAAGGGTTTATACTTAGTGCTTGTATCTCCCCACTTCTGTGCTTCTCTAACTCCCAGGAGTTCCTCTTTAAGTTTTCCCTTGCTTGCACAGTCCTGTATTCTGATCTCTGGCACTTTGGGCCACAAAGGCACCGGGTTTTTCCATTCAAGCCATGCGGAGCACCCTCGGGTCAAGAAGCCAAAAATTCCCAATTCTTCTTCCTCACAGTTGTGTTTTTATTTTTCAATTTTTAACTCTCCTGTAGCTTTTGCTTTTGGTTGCTTTTTAAAGTCTTTACTTTTTTTTTTTTTTTTTAAATCCATTTTTTATAATGGTCACCTGCAGGAGTATCCATCCATGTGACTGTTTCATTGCTGTTCCATTGCTCCAGTTAGATTTGACTGTGGGAACAATCAATTTAAGACATCCAGAGTGGGGTGAAGTCTGTTCTTGGGACTGTGTTCTTAGTTCCCTGTGGAAGTCACAGAGGCTATGTCTTCAAATACATAGAAGCTCGTAAGGTAAGGGCTCTTCGTACAATAGAGCTGGAGTAGACCAAGAGGCAATAGTGACCATAAGTATACCTGCAAGGAGACGTCAGTTCTACTGGGGTAACATGAGGGTGAACCTGGAGAAACTTTTTTTTTTTTTTTTTTTTTTATCCTCACCCGAGGACATTTTTCCATTTTTGTACAGACAGAGTGGGAGGGAGAGAGAGGAAGAGAGAGAGAGAGGGAAACATCGATGTGAAAGGGACACATCGAGTGGCTGCCACCCGCACGACCAACCAGGGCCGGGGACAAACTGCAACCGAGGTACATGCCCCTAGCGGGAACCGAACCCGGGTCTCTCCGGACCGCAGGCGGACGCTCTAACCGCTGAGCCAAACTGGCCAGGGCAAACCTGGAGAAACTTTGAATAGTCCGATGCTCAGTCAAGTTCTTCTGACCATTGTGCCACAAGAGGACAGATCCCAGATGCTTTGCAAA